GTCATTTTCCCGTATCCATTTCTCCCTCTTTCCGGTATTGCCATTTCCGTGTCTGTGCTACATAGTTAAAAACTTATTAAATTAAGAGTGCAAATCATATAACTCAAATTATTTGGCACCATTTTATATGTCAAACATGACTTACTTATATGTATAGTATAATTTACACGTCTAGTGTAGTTTGCAAATAATTGAATTCGCTCTCTCTTTATATATATTATTTACAGATTGAACTAATATTACTATCAGATACTAGGGGCGGAACCAGGATCAAAATGTAGAAGTGAGCTAAATTTCGAGGTTCGGGACAGCACTTCAAATTTTCTTCCAGGTTCTCAAGACATTACAAAAATAGGTTTATATTGCTAATTTTTAATTAAAATAATATATATCATAATCTTATCATATTTCAGCATGCAAAAAATCAAATAAATAATCCAAATAATTATAATAATGTATTGCACTTAGTATTTTGGAGATTCGAGACATCGTCCTAGATTAATTAATTATACGTAGTGATAATAAACATAAAAAATAAGTATATATTCATAAATTTTATTTAAAATACTACCATTTTTAATGATTTTATTTTACATTGTTAAATTAAATATGATTTTATATCTATAATTTATATAACTCACATATTTAAAAAAAAACCAAAACTATTATTCAAAACATATTATTACAAAATACCTAAAAAAAATCAAAAAAATCTTTTGGGGGGTCCACACCCCGCCCCTGATCAGCACTCTTGTTTTTATAAGGTAGGTGCTAAGTACACATGCAAAGTGGAAAAAGGAAGAAAGCACATATTGTTGATTAATTATATTTCTTGAGAGAGATTATTAGAAAGAAAATGGGTGAAGAATCTTTACTAATGGTCCCCTTTGCTTCTTCTCACACATCCGTTGCACAGGAACAGGTTTTTTTTTTTCTGTAATTATTTTTTTTAATTTTAATTTATTATTTCCTCTGCTCTGAAATTTGGTCAGTAGGCTTTGAGTGTGTGTAGCATTCTTGTTTATGTCTATTTTTTTTTTCATCATAGATATATGATGTAGTGTTGAAGCATTTTATATACAAAATATAATTAATGTGAATTCATCATTTATAAAATTTTATTTAGTCTCGTTTGGCTGGGGAGATTAGCCATCATTAACTAAATAATTGATGTTCGGTACTTGTCGGATTAACCCGCAATTCTTGCTTTTTAGACAGTCCAATAATACAAATTAATATACAAATTAAATAATATGATGATGTTTCATTAGATTATTTAATCTTATCTTGACAACCAAACGAGGCCTTCGTATATCTGATAACGTGATGGCGCACAACACAGGCAATTGTTGCATTAAAGAAGGGTGCTCATCTCTTCAAGTTCAATAGCAAAGCCAAACCAAAATTTTGCCTTTTCAGGTTATCTATGGTAAGTAATCATTCAATATGATCCTTTTTCCCAAAAAAATTAGCATGATAATTTTTTTTTCTTTGTTGATATTTTTAATTATTTGATTTGCTTACAGGATGAGAAATATATGATTTGGTATTCTGGACAAAATGAGAAACAACTCAAATTAAGCTCAATAGCAAACATCATCCACGGCCAAAGCAGCACCGTATGTTTTTTCGATATATAATTAATTCTGCATTTCGATCTTTCGTCTTTGTGCTAAATCGTTCAAGTTATCTTCCATAATATAAACAAGTGCAGCTCGACAAGGAAAATCGGACGTGCCTCTCACTTATCGATGCAAAGGGCAAATGCTCGCTTCAATTGGTAAATAATATAGTACATTCAAACTGCCTCTCATCTTTGTCAATGTACGAAAAGAAAAATTATTTCGTATTTTTTTATCGATACAGATATGTAAGGACAAAGTCGAGACAGAGTCTTGGTTTATAGGATTAAGAGCGGTGATATCGAGGAATTACAGAAACGGAAGCGTGAAGAAATTACAGAGAGGAACACAAAGTTGTATCAACAGCCCAGCTTCTTTTATGAGATGGAAGCAAATTTTAGGACATTCTGAAGAGTGTAAGAGCAGATCATCTCAGGTTCTTACATGTAACCACTCTTTGATATATAGATGTACTTATTTCTTAGGGTAAATTATGAAAAAACCCCTCAACTAAGGTCAAATTACCAAACACCCCCTCTCATATTCATGACTAAAAAAAAAATACGACTAATAACGATTAGCTAGAGTTTTTAACAAAAAATGTGTAATGTGTGTACCGCCGTTGAGTTAAATAAAAAAAAATATAAATTATCCAAATCCCCTGAAGTATGGTCGAATTACCAGAAAACCCCTAGTATCAATAATTACTGAAAATGCCTTAAGATTTGTTTCCACCTAACAATGCCCCCTTATTAAGGTTAATTTGAAAAAAAAAAAAATAGGATTGTCTTTGAAGGTTTGAAAATCCGGCTACTCCCTCTAGATTTCGTAAATTGACCTTTAGTTCCGGGGGTTTCTCGTAATTTTTCTATTTATTATATAATAATAATATAACCATTCTTTGACTTATAGATTAACTTATTTACTAGAGTAAATTATGACAAACCAACTCAGCTAAGGTCAAATTACCAAACACTCCCTCTCATATTCATAACTATCAAAAAAAGAAAAACCTATGACAAACGGTTGACTAGAGTTTTTAACAGAAAATGTGTAAAGTGTGTGCCGCCGTTGACCGCCGGTATCCAGCGTTGACTTTTTCCTTTTTAGTTTTTATTGAACTTTTTTTTTCTATCTACTTTTTCCATTGCCGATGTCCGATATTGACCACCGGTCTCCGACGTTGATTATTTTTAGTGTTTCTTCCCTAAAATTTTTATCCGTTCTTAGTGTCAACATATTAATATTACTCTATTACATAATAATAATGATTTTTGGTGTGTTAGTAGTATTGTGCCTAATATAACAATATTACTGTGTTAAATTGTAGTATAGTTAATACTACTGTGTTTAACATTAATATTAACCAATGTTGTAAAAAACGGTAATCGGGTCGGAGGCGGTCAGGCACCGACTCACGATTAAGCGGTGCGGCGGTGATAAATCGGAAATAAATTGGTTTTTAATATTTAATATAATATATTTCTAGATATTGTTTATAAATACTCAAAACATATATAAAAAGATATTTAAACATAGTTGTATCTCCATCATGTATATATCCTAAGGCCCCGTTTGGTCGGCAATATAAGAATACCCAAGATAAGATTAAATAATCTAATGAAAACCAATTATTTTATTGAAGCTTGCAACGTCCAACAAAAAAGACTCATTAGAAGGCAAGATAAGCCAAGATAAGGCAAGATAAACCATGATTATATAATTTTGGCGGGTCGACTCGACAATTTGTTTGGGATACCAAACATCAAATTAAGTCCAACTATTTAGTTAATTATGACTTATCTTGGTAACCAAACGAGGCCTAATAACATAATAAAAGTTTAATAATAATAAGATCATAATACATAAATATCTTTATAAAGTAAAAAGACAAATTTTTGAATTTACATTTATTTTTGAACATTCCTGGCATACATCATTAGTTCTTTAATAATAACAGTTAACATAAACAAAATAAAGTATAAACTCATATTTTTTTATTAAAATCCCAACTTTTATTTTGAATTGAAAAAAAAGCCAATTTTGACCGATTTTTGGCCGATTTGGCCGATTTTTCCTCCGAGTTTGACCCGCCTTAAAGGTTTGACCGTCTCAGACCGCCTCAAACCGCCTAAACCCGCCTCACATGCAAAAAACCTTTTTCAAACCTTTACACTACAATCATAAAGGTTTAGGACCGCCTCCGCTTCGAAGACCGATTAATCGGCCGCCTCGGCCGATTTTTAGAACACTAATATTAACCCAATACGAATGTCAACCACATCAATATTGTTGTTTAAACGGGGCAAAAAGATGTTAAAGAAAAAAAAATAAAAATCAACGCCGCTGGAGACCGACGTTTACCGCCGGTCAGCGGCGGTAGTAAGAATAAAAATAAAAAAAAAATCAAAAAAGTCAACGCCGGAGATTGGCGGAAAAATCAGGAGAAAAAAAAAGTCAACGCCGAAAATCGACGGTGACGGGCAAAATTGAGTTTTAGGTCAAAATTGAATAATTTGTGAAATTTGGGATCAAATTGAGGTAAAATTAAATTAAATGATTAAATTGAAGCATATTAAAATATATGGGGATATTTTAGTCTTTTACACATCTCTGGACAATGTGTGAACTTTTTTGTAAAATATTTTTTTGTGACCCATTTATGAATAAGTATCCCATGATGTACTTATTTGTAAATTGTAATGCGCCCCTAAGTTAATTAAAAAATAATGAATATGGTAAAATTCATTTTGCACTCCTATACTACGCGAAATATATCATTTACCTCCCTAAAGTATAGAAAACATCAAATACCCCCTGCCGTTAGCTTTTTTCCTAATTTCCGTTAGCCAAACCCTTTGACCGACTATTGCAAAGAAATGGATGATTTTTTTTTTTTTTTTTTACGAAAATACCCAAAAAGAAAATTCTAAATATATAAGTTGCTTAGTTTAATTTTGACAAATATTCACCAATTTTTTAGCTGTTTTCAGCCATTTTTTTTTCACTTTACTCAGTCATTTTTTTACTATTTTCAGCTATTTTGCTTATAAAAAAATTGAAAAGTCGAATAAATAAAAATGAAATTTTGCTGATTATGAATGTAAAACCCACATAAAAGAAAACTAAAAGCCCTAAAATTTAAAAGAAACCCTAAAATTGGAATAAAACTCTATGAAGGAATTGTAAATTAGAAACAAAGTTTTTCATATTATAATGGGAAAATCCCCCCAAAAAAAAAATCTGAAAATCCCTAAAATCAACAAAAAACCATAATTTGAACTAACGCTAAAAATCTTCAGCAATCCACAAAAAATACGCTTAAAAAAATTAGGGATTATATCAGACATAAAGCATGGTAAAAAAAAAAAAATCACTGCAATCCACAAAAAATACGCTTAAAAAAATTAGGGATTATATCAGACATAAAGCATGGTAAAAAAAAAAAATCACTGCACACTCAAATTTAACACCGCTAAAAAGTTTGACCATTGACCGTTAAAAATCGAGGGTGTTTGATGCTTTCGATACATCAAGAGGGGTAAATGACACCTTTCACATATTACAGAGGTGTCTGAGGTTGAATAAATAAATAGGATTGTCTTTGAAGGTTTGAAGAATCCAGCTACTCTTTGCAGATTTGAAGGGATTTTTTTTTTCTTTTGTAAATTTACCTTAGGTCAGAGTTTTTTTCATAATTTATACTATTTAGTGTATTATTGTTTTATAAGTTATAAACTACTGCAAATTAGTCACTTATTTGATTTGTTTTCTTGAAAAGGTTCACAGTTTACGTGGAAGCCCCACATCATCAATTTCAGCAAGGCGAAGTTCGAACGATCCGATCCAGCCAGGTGATTTAGAACTTTCCAGAAGCACATCTAAGGAATTGCATATCTCGAAAGACGTTTATATTTGGGGAGGAACAAAATCGAACGCTTTGCTGCTGCCTAAACTTTTGGAATCCACTACAATGCTCGATGTACATAATATATCTCTCGGAATGGAAAACGCCATGCAATTAACGACGAGGTGGGGCGAAGCATATTTTTGCTGGGGCGAGGGCAAAACCGTAAAAACACTCCGTCCAAAAAGGGTCGAATCACTTGTTGGGGTCCACGTGGACCTTATTAGCTCCGGCGAACACCAAATGTGTGCCTTAACTCTTTCCGGCGAGCTCTACACATGGGGAAACAACAAATATTACTATGGCAGTGAAGATAGCAATAGTTGGCTGCCACGTAGACTTTCCGGTTCGTTGAACGGTGTATATATAACTAGTGTTGCATGTGGTGCATGGCATACTGCGATAGTGTCGAATTCCGGCGAGTTATTTACGTATGGAGATGGAACGTTCGGTGTTCTTGGCCATGGGGACGTTCGAAATTACCCTAACCCTAAACAAGTTGAATCGATCAAGGGTTTACGTGTAAAAGCAGTTGCATGTGGGCCCTGGCATACTGCTGCAATAATCGAAAATAAGTTATTCACGTGGGGTGATTCGGACAAAGGAAAGCTAGGACATTCTTGTAATGATAAAAGAAAAGTAGTATTGGTTCCAACTTATGTTAAGCAACTATTCGGTCACGATTTCGTGCAAGTATCGTGTGGGAATACTATAACCGTTGTACTCACAAGCAAAGGTAGGGTTTACACAATGGGGAGTGGATTAAAACCAGGAGATAATTCGATAGTCGAAGTGCATGGTAGGCTTACCGAAGAGTTTGTAGTGGGAATTTCGTCGGGTTCTTACCATATCGCTGTCTTAACTTCGAAGGGAAATGTTTATACTTGGGGAAAAGGCGAAAACGGGCAGTTAGGTTTAGGGGATACTAAAGATAGAATGTCTCCGAGTTTCGTTGATGCCCTTAGAGGGAAAAAAGTCGAGAAAATTACGTGCGGATCGAGTTCTACAGCTGTTGTATGTTCGGACATGTCTTTGGCCGGTGATGGAAATTTAGCTTGCAGAGGTTGTGGTGGCGCTTTCGGTTTTACGAGGAAGAAACGTAGATGTTATAACTGCGGCCGTTTGTTTTGCGGTGCATGCAGTAGTAAGAGATCTGCATGCGCTTCGTCTCTTGCTCCGAAGGAGAATAGGGCTTTTCGAGTTTGTAACGGATGCTTCGATTATTTGCAAAGTAGTGTTTCTTGTTCTTCTTCGGTTGTGTTTTCCAAGCTGGCGGCTTATAAGGAGTTGCCTAGGTGGGGCCAGGTTTTGTGCCCTCGAAATTTTACGGAAATTTTTGAAGGCTCGATTTCGATAAGAGCTCCTCTTTTAGGACATGATCACTTATCTTCAACGGCTGCTGCCTCAAACGTAGATAAAATTGTCCTTCTCGAAGAAATCGTGAAGCTAAAGGCCCGGGTACGTATATTGTTAATATATTCGGTTTTCATAAATACAAGAAAATTGAAATGATTAATTTATTTATTGTTGCATGCAGGTTGATAGTCTGGAAAAGCTTTGCCGAACGAGGGAAGAGAAAATTATCGAGAACCGAAAAGAAACCGAGAAAGCTTGGTCTGTGGCAGAGGAGGAAACTGCAAAGTCGAAAGAGGCGAAGGAATTAATACAAGCATTGACATTAGAGGTTATTTTTTCTTTCACTCAAACAATTATATATACCATTGTCGAAACCATATATTCACCGATTTAATTTATGTATTTCTTTTCTTTCGTTTCAGCTTTGTGCAATGTCGGAGAAGAGTTACGGCAGATCACGAGAATCGGAAAATAAACCGGATTTTGCACTTTCTCAGACAAAGATACATCCTGTTCTTGATGTTGCTTGTTTGCCAAACAAGTTTGAAGACAATAATATTGTTTTCTCGAACAAGTTTAGATCTTTGTGCAATAGAAATCTACGTTCCGATATCGGAAGAACGAATCCCGTAAAAATGGGATCGGAATCTTCCGAGTTAGAATGGGTAGAAGAGCATCAACCGGGTATATATATTTCATTCACAGCATTGCCAGACGGAAAAACGTGTCTCAAGCGAGTCAGATTCAGGTATTTCTTGATCCTTTTACGCTTTGTGATTCGATCAAATATTTCGATAGGAGAAAAGAAAGAAATAAAGAAACAAATGCAATGAACGATGAAAGTTCAGTACATGATATTTATGACATCACTCTAATGTTGTGCAGTCGAAAAAATTTCAACGACAGAGAAGCAAAGAGATGGTGGGAGGAAAACCAACAAACCGTGTGCCGGAATTATCGAGTTGATGTTTATTCAGCCTCAGACACGTAGGAGACAAACACGATGCATGATCATAAGTACGACATTGTAGATTTTACCGAATGATGCCTAAATAAAATTTACTGTCTATACTCTATCAGCATTGTATATGATGATTTTTTTTTTCGTTTTCTTGCTTAGGTCACTAGTAAAAAAATGGCTTTTTACTACGAATTTTTTTGTTACGGTAAAAATCCGTAATAAAAGATACTTTTTATTAAAGGACAATTTTGGATTCGTAGTAAATGCTAGGATTTACCGTATCAAATAAGTATTTGCTACGACCATTTACTGTAGCAAAGTTTTTGTCACGCCCGTATATACTGCGGTGCAAAATTGTAGCAAATGCGTAGCAAAAGCATTGTTACTATGAATTTGATATCTCTTACTACGGTTAATGGTAAAAAGCAATTTTTCTACTAGTGGGTATAAATGCTAAATTTATGAAATGTATCGTATAGTTTTTCATCTTTGATCTAGACACAACCACACACAAACATACGAATATTCGTAAAACATCTACATGTATACACGTGTATGGTATGATATAATACGGGGGAATTCACTGGATGTATCGTAGAACAAAACCATATGTAGTTCCTTCTTGGGAATCTTGCACTAAAATTACATAACAAGTCCAAAACATATTAATTAGTAGCTTATTAATTTATCAAAGTACTATTTTTTAATGAATATGAGATCAAATAAAGAAAAATAGCTAACATTTATCAAGAAACAACATCTTTTCTTTAGTTGGTATCTTTTGATGGTACGAAGATTTCGAAATTAGTGATGGTACCGTTGATGTCCACTTGTAATAATAATTATATTATAACAAGGAAACCTTAATTCCATCAAAAAATAGAAAAGAAAAAGGAGGAAACCTTGAATCTTAATTCTTCTCTTCTTCCCTTTTCCTTATTTTTCCGGAATTAGTTTCCGGCCTATTTCATGCTATCTGACCAATATATTTTTTTTTTATATTTAATTATTTATTAAATAATTCTAAAAGGAGCATTTTATATTATTTTATATTTATTTTTAACACAAAAATTCAAGGGCCTCACATGTCCCTATTTTCTCTATTATAGAATGTAACATGGCCCAATTAAATTACTTGGTCCAAGAAGCCAGCTCTAAAGAACCCATCTTAATATAATTGGAGCCCTATTCGTTCTACCTAGAGGTGGGAATCGGAACGAAAATCCCGATTTCCGCCGAATCCGATCCGATTTTTTTGATTTTAGAATAGTTTTTTTCATGCCGAATCCGATTTTTCTGATTTTTTTTGGATCCGAATTGGAATTACTAGGGGTGAAAGTCGGATGGATCATATCGGAATTAGCCTTTTCGGAAAATTTTCAAAAAGTTTCGGAAATACAAAATCAGTTCCAATTCCAATTCGAAAATTTTCGGAATCTAATAATTCATTCCAATTCCAAAAGGCCCGGAAATTTTGGAATTTCGAAAAATTTTCGGAAATCAAATAAGTTATAAATTTTCAAAACTTAGCGAAAATTTTCTGAAAGTTTCATAATTTTTCGAAAATAAGAACATCCACGTCGATAAAAGTAAAACTAGTAACTACTAAATTTCAGTTCAAAAAAATTAATAAAAATAAACCACATCATAATTTCCAATGAAATTTATCATGCCGAATCTAATTTTTCTGATTTTTACTATGTCAAAATCCTAAAATAAACTAAAATCAAATTACTACATCAGAAAAAAAAAAAAAGTATTATTTATAGGTGTATTTTTCGGAAGGAAATCGGAATTTTTCGGAATTAATTTCGGAAATTAAATCGAACCGGAAATTGGAAATTCCAATTTTTTTTATATAAATCCAATTCCAATCCAAAAAAATGTAAAAACTCAGAAATCGGAATTTCGGAAGTCAGAACGAAAAAAGTTGTTCCAAAATCGGAATTTTTCGGATCGGAACCGGCGGGAATTTGAACTTTCATTCCAACTTGCACCCCTAGGAATTACACATAATATTTTTGGAATTTCCAATTTCCGATCCAATTAATTTCCAAAAATTTCCAATATATTTCCGAAAATATCCGATTTAGTTTCGAAAAAATATATTTAATAATTATATTACGCTATATTTATTAGGCATATTACATAAGAAATTAAAGACAGTGCAAAAGTCCAGCATATTTTACACCTCGTTGAAATATCAATGATTCTTTGATGGAGGCGTAGGTGTAAGATGAAAGGGTCAATCTTGGAAAAATGACAGGTTTTTAATTTGTCGTGCGTTTTTATTTTTGTTTATTGTTCTTTTTTCTATATTTTTCTTTCATTTTGTATGGTAAAACATTGGTTTACGATTATTTTTTGACCAAAAACTTCTGATTACGGAAAATTTCGAAATGTTTTCTTACTACATGTTCTTTGATTTTTTCTTCGTTTTGGGCCTGCAAGTTCGGCGCGCAACTTTTGATTCTTTCACATCTGAAAATTTTCTTGAGTTTGTGAGAAGATTTCGGAAGTCAAATCCAAAATTTTCAAGAATTTCAAAATTTACATTATTTTCCCATTTTTTCTGAAATTCCGAAACTTCCTATTTTTTCGGATATTGGAATCAATTTCCGAATTCCATATTTTTTTAATCGGAATCGGAAGGCATTTTAAACCTCCGAAAAAATAAGAATTTTTTTGAAACGCCCAAATCCGATTGTCCGATTTCCACCCCACTACCATAATAAATGACGTAATCATTAGGAGAATTGGTACTTAGTCTTTACTCTTTACCAATAGGGTAAAGGTCTAGGATTCAAGTCCCCCTTCTCCAACTTTCCCTAGTAATAGACTTAAATTTACTTAAAAAAATAAAATAAAAAAATATATTAAGTGTCGTTTCGATTTTATTAATACTATTTATTCATTGTTGAATCCTATTTGGATTCTAATTTCTTGTGGGCTGAAAAAAAATAAAAAAAATTCATCTTTATCTCATTAGGAGACTTGAGATGGAGAAATTCTCTAACTCATATATTACACAAGTATGTTACTCTTGGTCGAAAGCTCGTTACACGGTTCAAGATTCTTTCTTTGTTCGATTTTTTTATTTGCAGAAGTCTATAAAGTGTTTGAAAAAATTGCTCAACATATCAAGATCATTAGTCCATATTGATTTATCTATGCATGGTGATTGACCAGAAAGGCGAAGAAAAGAACAGTAAAGTTGGCATGAACACAGAAGGAGTTCAGACAATTGTTGCTATAGTGCATAATTGCTGGAACAGTGCATTAGAAAGACGTTGCTGCAACATTGCAGAAATACAAGGGGGGTTCATACAACTGTTGGAACAGTTGACGAGCATTATGAAGAGAAGTTGATTTTGCTACTACATATCTTTTTATTTCCGTTTATCTGAACAAATCCTTTGCTTTTCTTTCTAGCTATTCATATCTATAGAAATATCTTCTGTGTGTTAATTAAATTATGCATATTTTAGTTTTGAATTAATTTTATTTTATATCTCTGATTTGTATTCTATTAAATTATATTATATTTTCTTACAAGCTTTTAGCAAGTTTTTGAATGCAAAATAATATGTTCTGAAAAAGGATGAATGTGTTTGCCAGCTGAAGCTATAGGCGATGGGATTTAGTAAAAAAATAAGGTGAGATGGGTAAAAGTGAGAACAATAAGTGAAATATTTAAAAATGTATAGAAAACAATATTTTTAAACATTAATATTAATACAATAACTATAAAATAGAAATTTTTTTTTAAAAAGAATCGGTTCGAACTGGTCGAACCGTAACCCAAATGGTCGTCCGGTTCTAACAACATTTGTTTTTTTGGCAATCGGACCTTATACAGTATATGAGGTTTTGGTAATTTATCCAAATTTTTAATAACATTCACAAATGTTGGATATTTGACTATTGAAGGCAAATATAATTTACTTTAAATCAATTTTATTTATTTAAATCGACTTTATTAGTATTAGTTAGTGGCGGTTATTTTCATCTTAGTAGTGAATTATTTTAACACATGCTTAGTGTGCCTATTTCCGTGCAGGACAAGAAGCTCTTGAATTCTATAAATAGAAGAGGTCATCGGTTCATTTACTGCCGATATCTAAAGAGAGCTGAGAGCATAGAACTTTGGATGTTGGAACATGTTTTACAACACCTTTCAATTCATGCGCCCTCGAGTATTGGATGCGTTCAACTATAATTACTAGAAAGTGAAAATAGCATTCATCGAGTCTATTGATGAAAGGGCATGTTGTTGACTGAACGTACCCCTCCACAATAAGTTGATGAAGATGGTGATGTCATAGTAATCCCCGAATGGATAGCCGATCATGTTATTTTACAATAATATTAAAAGAAGTAATCAGAAAATCAAACTTGCATAATATTAGAAGAATTGGATCAAAATTCCAACATAGGATTCAGTTAAGATCATAAATTAAAGAAATTAGCTACTCATAATCCTACTTAAAACAGATAAATATGTACTAAATAATATGGTTAAAAAAAAGAAGAAAAGAATAAGAAACTATGGTGAAAATTCATTATGCTTCGTCTTCTCTTTTCTAGCGCAAAAAATATTTTAGAACAATATGTAGGATGCTGCTTATATATAAGCGCAAGACTTGGTGATGAAGAAACACATTCCTTGTCCAAGAAAAATCTCATTTTTTTTTTGAATTTCAGGCCTCTCACTATATAATGGATGTTGCTTATATATAAGCGCAACATATAGTTCTAGACAAAAAACAATATCGTAAATAAATTCATCCCTAAGTCTTTTGTCTAAAATACCCCTCATAATATAATTTTCATCAATTCCATCTGTTATACTCTGACTTCATCAATATTGCATACTGAGCCCGAATTTGAACAAATATATCACATTAACCCCCATTTTCATAATTTTTTGAATTTTGTTTCAGAAAATAATTTTTGTTCCAGCCATATTCCGATGTTGACCGCGCGATTCTCCGTGTTGAATTTTTTTTTTTTTGAGCCAGTTAACTGCCGTTGACTTTTTTTTTCGAAACTTTTTTTTTTCTCTCTAGATTATGTAAACCAAAAAATTATTGTCTGAGAC